ACGGCCAGCCCCCCCGGTGCCAGCACACACCAGCCATTACGATGCCGTTTTTGCTTGCGGCTGGGGAGGGCTCAGCCCCTCGGCGCTGGGCAGGGCTGTGCCGCCTGGGCCCCGCTTTGTAATTTGGGGCAGCTGGAACGTGGGGACCCACAGGGCTCGGCTCCGCGGCACAGCCAGCCCAAAGTAACCTGCAATTTGAGACATTTCGGCCCTGCTCTGCTTGTAATTTGCTCTGTGGGGCTGCGCTTTGCTGTGCCAGCGAAATACCCGGGGGGGACTGATCCTGCGGAGCTGCACCACGGTGTGCAGAGCATCATGCACAGCACAGCACCGTGCCACACACGGCACCGTGCAAAGCACCATGCACAGCCCCATGCCACACACAGCCCTGTGCACCGCATGCTGCCCTCCCACTGCAGGGCACAGAGGCTTGCCGGGGTGGCGTGCCCCAAGGATCCTGCTGTGACACCGCTCTGGCTTCCTGCAGATTCCTCTGCCGTGAGCTGGGAGATGGCAGCCCGACAGGACCTGCTGACTATGCCAAATAGGGTGATTCCCGGCTCCTGGCAGCCGGCTCACGCTCCGGCAGTGGAGGAAAGTTTATCCTCACTGGGCTTCTGCTCCAGAGCGGCAGGCGCAGGGCAGGCACGGGGCTGGGCGAGAGCGGGAGCAGTCCCTCCGACCTGCACCCATCCACCTTCTCGGGACCGGCCAGCCTCATCCCCACCTGGACTGGGGGCAGAGGCTGGACGATCCGCTGTGGGGTGAAGCTGGATGATGGAAGCATCCCTTCGCCTCCGAGAGAAAGTGGGGCTGGGGGTGACAGTGGGCCCTGCGGCCTCCTGTCCCCAGCCTGGCCCCGACAGCTCGGAGGCACATAAACCTTCGTGCCCATTCCAGCTGAGCCCTGAACTCCTGAGGCTGCTTTTTGGCATGGCAGGGCGCTGGCATCCACATGCGTGGGGACACAGTGGGGTCAGAGCAGGGTGGGATCCCATCCGGGGACCGGCCACTGCTGCCGGCTGCGGATCCCCTGGCCCACGCTGACTCACCCGTAAACATTTACATTTGCAGGAGGGAGCGGGGCCGGCGAGGCTGCTCGGCCCCAGATGGAAAATATCCGAAGCACAGAGCGAATGTAAACAGGCGGCGGGGCCGGGGTGGCCGGGGCGCAGGTGGGCCGCAGCACTGCCAACCCGCCCTCGGCAGCGCGAGACAGCCACCCTCAAAAGCGGCCTTCGCGGCAGCGGGGCACCAAGGGCTCAGCTCGGGACAGGGCGGCACAGCGATGCCTCGAGCGCGTGCGAAACACTGCTGCCCAAGTGCGCGCTGCAAATATCGAGGGCGGCGTAAGCTGCCCGGTGGGGTGGGGATGGGGACATGAGGATGGGGATGTTGAACCTGGCGGGGCAGGGGTGGGTATGGAGAGGTGGGGATGGAGAGATGGGGATGTTGAGCCTGGCCACAGCAGGGATGGGGATTGAGGGATGGGGTCACCGATCCCAGCTGGGGCAGGGATGGGGATATGGGGATGGGGATGCTGAGCCTGGTGGGGCAGGGATGGGGATGGAGAGATGGGGACACTGAGCCTGGTGGGGCAGGGATGGGAATGGGGATGCTGAGTCCAGCTGGGGCAGGGATGGGAACGTGGGGACACCAAGCCTGGCAGGGCAGGGACAGTCCTGGGCCATTTCTGCTCCCTTGGGTGGCTCCCCCAGGGCTGGGCACAGGGAAGGTTGGGCTGGTGGCTCGAGGGGTGACCGACACCTGCACGCTGGGGGTAGGTGGGACCTGGGAGCAAACCTGAGCCTCCTTCAGCCCCCAGGTACAGGCAAGATGGTGGGTCCCTCTGTGGCCACTCATGGCTTTGCTCTCCCCATCCCTCCTGGCCCCAGCCTCAACCAGGCAGGGACAGCCCGGGCCAACACAGCCCTACGAGGCCGAGAGCCTGCGACCACCGTTTGCTCACTGGGGACGAGCCCTGGGTGCACCGGCAGCGCACAGGACCACCCCGACGGGCAGTGATGGTCCCGGAAGCGTCCCCCTCACCTCGCTACAGGCAACCGCAGGGCAGGAACACGTTACGCCACAAGTGCACCCGTCCCCACCCCCGGCATTTCCGCCCCGGCACCACCACCCTTTCCGCTCCCATGCCGCGGCCACAGGCCGTGCCCCACACGGGGACGAGGTCCTGGGGGCTGCGGTCCCCAACCCCCCGGGGTCTGGCCCCCTGCTTGCGGCCTCGAGGGCTGAGCTCGCCCTGGGGGAAAGCAGCTCCCTATCACGCCAGTCCAAGTTAAAACACAAACCCAAGGGAATGGGGGTCCCCCGCCTATGGCTCCACGCGTGCCAGCACCGGGGACCGGGCGTCATGCCCATGACGCAGCCGCCGGCCCCCCGATGCTCTCGGATGCAGGGCCCTGTCCCCGCAGCTCAGGAGTGCTCTGGCAGGAAGCCGCTGA